ACAGTCTTGAACAAAAAAAAATCCTTTCACAAGAAATAGGACTCAAGATAAACCTTCCCAAAACAGAAGCTATGATCTGCAATTGGAATGAAAGCAGTGAACAGATTATCACTGAATCCATAATAAAATAAATCAGGATTTGGATTTAATAAATGTCAAACGCTACAAAATATTCTGTATGTATCAGTTATAACGGAATTACATTGGAAAGGAAATTGAAGATGGGATAATTTGCTAGAGATATTTTCCCTCGACACCACTTGTTGCAACACAACTAAAACATTAACCTGGATACTCTAGTCATATTCTTAAATAGCTTAGTTACATCAACATATTTAAATGGATGTGAGACATGACGTCATATTCTTTCAGAAATATCTACACTGTCAGCAGTATATAAAGGTATTCTCAGATCAATGGCTGGCGAATCAATCTTGGCGAAGGTCGTAATTCTTCGAGGCTTGTGGAATGTCATTACAAAGTCACAAAGAACTGTACCAAATAAAAAAACAATACAACACTTGAAAACTTTCAACAGCAGAAACAACAAAAATGGATAATATCACATCTTATTTGAAAAGATGACGACCTAATCAAGATACTGAAGTTATTACACTACAAACAAAATGACAGGAAGGAAAACCCCGTCATTACTGCAAATACCGAGGACAGCCTACTAGGCTTGAGAAACCTTCTTTCCTGGAAGATCGTTTTAAGAGAAAGATTTTATAAATTTCAATCGGCCATAATACTGACTGCTCAGTTAATGAATAGGGAGACTGCTAATATTACCATTGTCATAAACTGGCTCATCCAACACATGTTTAAGGGGAAAATATTTACTCGTGGTTGCTCATCCTTTTCACCTCGAAACAAGACTGCTGTTACTGGGTTAACATGATACCACTTGATTTAGTAAATCTGGTATAAGACCAAAATGTAAATATTTAGTTATTCTGACGCACATAGAGTAATGTTCACACTCCAGCCTAACTTACGCATTTTTGCAAGGGGTGAAATTTTCTAGTCTCTTTTCTCTTAGACACAACGTTACAAGCTGTCTTATTATTTGCATGACAAAAGTTCATTGACACCACCAGATCCGACATTGGTACCTAGGACTCACAATTCTGTCCCAAAGATTCGAATCCCCTTCATTTTTCACCGCCTTCCATTTGCAAGGAAGAAGTTCCCTTAAGATACCTATTACAAGATAAATGTTACACTGTAGAACACCGGCGTTGATATTTACCTGACCACTACGCGTTTAATCATTTCTAGTCGAGTTTCAGTCACTATCGTCCTTATTCTCATAATCTTCACTTACTTCTAAGCCTTCTTGAATTCATATCACGCCTTATTCAATAACCCGCGATTAAGAGTGGTTCTTGAGCCTTGAATTGGATGAAGATTAGTATAAAAAGTAAATCCAGCACACAGATTGAATTTTTATAAGCTGGCTTTTGGAAGTCTCTAGGGATCAGGGTTCCACCTCTAGAGAGTTTTGCTTCAACCCGTATTGGCATCAGAGTGAGGCGATACTGGCGTGTCTACCATATAGTATAGAAATATAAAGGGATTCTATGGAAGATCGACCGTTTTCAATGCAGCATATCTCCTTTCTTCACACCACCGATGTTGTCCAAGAGAAGGACAAAGACCAATATACTTGGCGCTGGAGTTTCCTGACAATTCGCCAGAATCAAGCAGTATGAAACGTCGGGTTACCTTTGAGACTCTAACTTCTGAACTTCCTCAAGTTTTAATCCTAAATCTCTTCACGGGATTGGTGCAAAACTGACATTTTGAGATCAGTCTGAGTTTTCATTTTATTTCTTACCCGAGGTGAACGCGAAAGTCGAGTTTCTTAAATAACCTCATCAGATCTCGACTCTCTTTTTCCATAACGATCATTTCCATACAACCGTTTTCACAGATCAGTGGCTGAAAATAATTTCAAGCGAATGATACCTGTAGGTTTTTAAAAAAAAAACCTTCCCCAGATCAGATAGAATGTTTCTACAAAATCACAAATACTAATGGTAACATTAAGCATTCATTGGCCGAGCAGCTGGAATTAATAACAAGATATTTTCTAAATACCAGAAACATTACTTGGACTTTCAACAAAAACAGCCCAACTAATTCGAAAAGAAAAATATACGAACAAGATGTTGAAATTCCACACCATATTAAACAAAAGGTTAGGAAGGAAACTATCAATATTAGTGATAATAGTGAATTCAAGAAGCTTATTTTAATGAAAAAAATATTTTAAGATAAAGACTTTATAACTTTCATTATTATAGTGATTTTCCTAACCTAACTTAGATGTGGCAGAAGGTCAGAAATATAGGGCACCCAGTGAAGATCGAACTCGCTACTGAGTCGTAATTGTTCTAGCGTGACAGGGTGAACCGCTTTCATTATTATAAATTACCGTCAGTACTGGCTTTTGTGTCAATGAATATCACCAGTATGGTACCGACTAATTTCACTATTACGATTCTCTGAAAGCAGTCCTAAAGTCATCATTCAAGATTATACTACTGTTTCTAACATTGTAATTCTTTGGTTAATGGACATATGAGTCACTTTTTAATACACTTTAGATCCGTGAGTCTATTAAGATGTCATGGCGAAAAGACGAAAGTAATGAGAAATTAATTAATTTCCTTATCATAGAATATTAGAAGTAATTGTCTATATTTCATGCCAGTTACTGGAAAATTTCCAAAGATGAAGAAGTGGTTTTTCCACCATTTTTACAGTCCTTCAAACATAGTTGCAGGAGATATAAGAATAACCTCCAGGCTTGGGAAAAAAAGTTTTAAGTTGGACATCGGTAGACGTATAAACGATTTTGTAATTTAAGTCCGTGATTCACGAGCCGTGACCGCGCTAAGTAGGACATTGGCAGGAATGCCCCCACGTCATAGGATTTTGCTGAAGCATTCTTCTCAGTTGCTGTGAATGTGTGCGTGATGCAATGGAGAGCGGCATAGAATGAGAAATCTGAGAGCAGGGTTCGAATTCGAAGTGCGTTTGTTACATTCACTTTCGCGCAAATACTGTTGGGGAAGGTATAAAGTCATCAATTCTCCCGCCAACTATGGGTTAAATTTGTATCTAGAAAAAAACCATTGTTATTCTCAAAAAATTCTTAATAACAGTATCAAATAATTAATCATTATTGATTGGCAAATTGTTAATAATCTCAAACAAAATAATTATTGCGGGAATTCAAAATATTTTGGTCTTTAAGTAAACCACAAAGGCTTAATTAAACGTAAAATAATTCCAATCAGTCAGTCTCACTTTGAGTTGGCCATGCTCAAAAGAAATGCGTCCGCCATCTAAAGAATTATCGAAAGTATGGATACACATAATATACCAAATAGCCTGTCTTTCTTGATTAACAAAAGATTGTGGCTTATTTTTAATTTCTGTCTACTCTATTTGCATTGTTCGGACTGTTGTCCTCATCTTTGTTGATATATTCACAACGTTTCGCCCCTTGTACGCCAGGGTGTTCTTCAGGTGATTGAAATTTCGAACGGAACCGTTTATTTCGTCTATCGGGGCAGATTGTTCTAATTCCACGTGTCATTCCTCTTCTGGGTGTCTCAATTATCTCCCTTTAACTCGACTCTCCAAGTTATCTTTTACCTCTGTAGTAGCCAGGTATTGAACTCACAACTCTTTAGGTCAAGTCACTGAATCCAGCCAACGCTTTTATCTGCTGGGACAAGTAGATATTAGAATAATCCAGAAATTATACTGATGAGAAATCCGACTGCATGAAGATAAACAATGATTCAGTTGATACACGAAAATAGGGTTGGGGTGTAAGACAAGGTTATACATTCTCACAGGACTTATCCAACCTTTACAGTGAGGCTGTCATGAGGAAAATAGAAGTCCTATCAAGATTCATTATTGAAGGACATTTAACATCATATGCAGCTGATACACTGTTGATAGCAGACGCCGAAAGAAAACTGCAGGAACCTCTACAGAAGGTAGTAAATGAAGCCAGAGGAAAAAATTAACATGAGTTATAAGAACACAGAATATATGTGCCATAAAAAGTAACAGTATAACATGCTAACTTGGAATTGCAGCCACAAAAATCAAGCATAAAAAAATTAAATATCTCGGAAATGTCTTAACAGAGGGCAGAAAATCTTTCATCCAAATCCGAAGGCGCATTGGAATAACTAAATATGCCTTTCTAAAACTAAGCAAAACATTAGGAAAAGGAAATTTCGTTAGAAACAAAGAAATATTCTGAAATCGTTCCTACGATACGGCGGGAAACTGCTGGGCATGGTTCCTACGATACGGCGGGAAACTGCTGGGCATCGTTCCTACGATACGGCGGGAAACTGCTGTACATCGTTCCTACGATACGGCGGGAAAGTGCGGGACATCGTTCCTACCATACAGCAGGAGAATGCTGGACGTTCTCCACGCAGATGAAGCAGAGACTTCAGGCAACATAAATCTGGTTCTACAGAAGGATGCTGAGGTCACACTGACTGACGCTGTGAGTAACGACGAGGTTTCAATAATGTGGAAGCAAAAAGATTTCAACTTTGAATCCGAAAGAGACCGCTGAAATTCATGAAAATATAATGAAGAGACCTCGGAAATTGAACACTCGTGGGGTTTATTAAAGGCAAGTAAGAGTAATGCAGTAAGTAATGTACCTAAGGGATTAGTGTGATAGGTTGGCAGAACATGGATTTGGAGGGATAACAAAAAGACAAATCTCACTAAAACATACAAGGGACAAATTGTAGAGACCATGATCACACCCGCGTGTACTTGAAGGGCCACAGCACACAGAAAGAAAAATAAATTATTCCTCTGAAAAGCGCTTTCACTTTTTTTTTTTCACTTCGTGGGTTGGTTGGTTTGGAGAATTTGACAGAAGATGCCTTTTCTAAGAAAAGAGAATAATTGTTTATTTTTTCATCTTACTCTTCTCTTTTAAGGCCCACTTTCTCGTTCTTCCTCTTTTTTTTTTTTTTTTGCGTTGCTCGATCTTACTTTTCTTTTTATTTTCTTTCTCTTATTTATCCTTCTCATTACATTCTCTTACTTAATTATCCTTCCCATTACTTTCTCTTTCTTAATTATCCTTCCCATTACTTTCTCTCTCTTGATTATACTTCTCATTACTTTCTCCTTATCTCTCAGTTGTTGTCCTTCTCTCCTTATCTCTCAGTTGTCTTTCCTCTCTCTCCTTATCTCTCAGTTGTCTTTCCTCTCTCTCCTTATTCTCATTGTCTTTCTTCTCATCTAATTGTCTTTCCTCTCTCTCCTTATCTCTCAGTTGTCTTTCCTTCTCTCCTTATCTCTCAGTTATTTCCTTCTCTCTTATCTCTCAGTTGTTGTCCTTCTCTCCTTATCTCTCAGTTGTCTTTCCTCTCTCTCCTTATCTCTCAGTTGTCTTTCCTCTCTCTCCTTATCTCTCAGTTGTCTTTCCTCTCTCTCCTTATCTCTCAGTTGTCTTTCCTCTCTCTCCTTATCTCTCAGTTGTCTTTCCTCCCTCTCTCTCTCTCTCTCTAAATTTTCCTTCTTGGTCCTCTCTCTCTGTTTCTCGTTCCTCTCACTCCCACTCTTTTTCTTTCTCTTCTCCTTGCTCTCACTCTTTTTCTTTCTCTCTTCTCTTTTCCTTTAATTTAATTCGCTCCACTAATTTTCTCCTTTTCGCTGGGCTAACATTCAGCAAATCATAAAAATTCAAAGATTCTTGATTGAAATGGAAGTTTTTTTTCTATCTTATCCATTGATTTCTTGACAAATATTTTTTTGTGCATTTTACAAACCGTGAAGCCAATTTCGTTATTGTCCACAAATATTATTAAAAATATAGTCAATTGACAATAGAGATTCAAGCGAACAAATATGCCATGAACGCTATTCATTCTCAACAATGAAACTGGATTCAGTCGACGATATTTCGCAAGTGGTAACACTTCAACAACCCGACAAAGTACCAATGGGAATCTTTGACTAAGCATGAAGAATCCAAGATGGTTAGAATATATTTAAAACCTCTCTCCCCTCTCCCCCCTCTCTCCCTCTATCTCTATCTCCCCCACTCTTTCCATCTATCTCTCTATCTCTCCCTCCATCCCTCCCTCCCCCCTCCCTCTATCTGTCCCCCCTCTCTCTCTCTCCCTCTCTATCTCTCCCTCTCTCTCTCCCTCTATCTCCCCTCCTCTCTCTCTCCCTCTCTCTCTCCGCTCTCTCTCCCCTCCCTCTCTCTCCGCTCTCTCCCCCTCTATCTCTCCGCTCTCTCTCCCCCCTCCCTCTCTCCCCTCTCCCCTCCCTCCCCCCCCCCTCTCTCTCCCCCTCTCTCTCCCCTCCCTCTCTCCCCCCTCTCTCTCCCCCCGCTCTCTCCCCCTCCCTCTCTCCCTCCCCCCCCTCTCCCCCCTCCTCCCCTCCCTCTATCTCCCCCCTCCCATATCTCCCCCCCCTCTCTCTCCTAAGTTAGGAATTAATATTTCAGATGTCATTCGTTTTTTGTTAAGAGTGAGGATCATCTGTCAATTTTTATTCTTTCCAATTTCTTGCGTGATATGTTTTTAATTTTCTTTCGCATTTGTTTTTTTTTTCTTTTTTTCTCTTCTCCGTCGTTGGTTTCTTTCCCCGTCCACTACTTGAATTCAGTCTTTTGAATGCACTTACTAAAAACACTAAAACCAACAATTAGAAAAGCAAACGGATTAATATTGAAGTTATTTTGAGAAAAAAAGAAGTGTCAAAATAAAATAAAAAATATTTAACCCCAGAACACAGAAATGTTGTTGCAATTACATAGTATCAGCAGTTTCCAGCGCAATTTTCCTGCTTCTAAATATTGTGCTTAGTTACTAGGAGGTATCTTTCTCTCTGCATATGCATCATTAGCTTGCTGTATCATATTTCCATCATTGGTTATAACACTTCCACAGTGTTAAATATCTGTATGTTTCTTTATTTTGACGTCCCCAAATTCGTAGCTTACATTTTCGCCTGGCGTATTGCCAATGGCCATCCATTCAATTTTCTTAGAATGGATTGTTAGTCCATTGTTCTTGCTTTACTACATTATCGAAATGTACCTGCAGTTGAGTGCAGGAAGACACAACACCGCCGACTATGCACCAAGGCAACACAAGACCCAGACAAATCAGCACCAAAAAAACATAACATTTTTCTACAACCGAATAAAAGTAATTTATTACGGATTAAAATATTAATCAGTGAATATATTTCTTCATACAAGGCATTTGAAAAAGCACTATGTAAAATATGAACCAGTTTTTTTGTTTTTAATTATTTTAATAAAGAATATCGTTAAAGAATTTAATTTTTAATAAAATAAATTAACATATAAAAATATAATTAAATAAAACACTTGTTTTTAATTATTTTTAATAAAGTAAATCGAAATTCTAAGATATTTTCATAAAAAAATATAACATCTAATGTGAATTACTGTAAGTCAAGATATTAAATTTAGCATTTAGCTTATCTATATAATAAATGTGAATGTCAGTGAGTTGCTATGTCACACTGTCAGCTTTATTCCCAGAGGCAGCAGCTCAACATATTCTACCATTTTGAAAACAAGCTGACTCCCGGAGCAAACTAAAAACATTCCGCCCTGATCCGATTCCGCAATACTGAAATTTTGGATTTCCAAGCTTTCCTTACTGGGGATTTTTACATAATTTTTTTCCGACGAAATTTTTTGTACAACTATTTTTATAACTTGGAAATAAATTTGGGAAGAATCGAAATTGCAAAATCCAGAGAAAGTTATCCATGAAATAAAAATAGTTTGTACAGAAAGAAAGAGCATACATACATCAAATTGTCTTTAAATTAAGTGGCTGCAGAAGGATTATCATTGAACTTTTAAAAGGTAAGCTGAAATATTAATGCAAATCTTAAATGCAGCGATCAATTTTGAGTTCTTTTGTAGTTTATTGTTGCGTATCGCACTTTCTTCTCCTTACCTATTGCGAGAAAAGGCTCAATCATGAATCTTCAAATTAACTAGTTTAAATGCCTCCCGATAAAATGCTTTTAAGGTTAAAATATATATATATATATATATATATATATATTATATATATATTTCGGTTGTTTCCCATCAGTTGCTTTTACGTAGCATTTTTCGAACTAGGTCTGTGTTTCCGTCTTTTCTTTGGATGTATTGCCCTACATCAAATTGAGTAATTTAGAATGAGTTTAATTGCCAGTGTGCTGCTGGTTATGTGGGACGTACAACCTTGCATTTGGAAACTAGAAACAATCAGCACGTACCTTCCAAAATACGACTTGGTAAGATAGATAAAATATGCTATGTTTCCCCTCATGAATATGGAATCGGCAATTGCTCAACATTTAGTTAAGAATATAGCCTGTGCCAAGTCGTTTAAAAAGGAGTGGTTTAAAATTATTCATACAGCCGATTCCAACAATCATTTGAAGATTTTGGAATCGGTCGGCATAGGATTAAGGAAACCTTCTTTCTGCCGGCAGAAAGAATTTGTAAAGTCTCTTAACCTGTTTGGGGATATTTTATTTTAACTGTCCCTCGCTAATTTATTTACACGATTATTTCCCTCCCTCGTTACAAATATATACAATTGTTTGTTTGTTTTTAGTGTGTTTTTCCCACTCTTTTTTTTTCATTGTCGTTAATATTCTTTTTCGTAGATCCAACGATTGTCTCCTGATGAGATGTTGGTTGAAAGGGCCTTAGGGACTTTTAAAAGCAATACATTCCTTGTTTTTAAAACTAATATATATATACACATTTTTTATGTATGTATACTGTATATGTCCCGTATATGTTAACTCGCGCGCGCACACATACTCACACACTCTCTAGAAAAAAAAATCCACTGTTAATAACTTAGGTACCTCCACGAAATCGCTAAAAAAAGAGCATAGCTTGATGAAAAAGACGCCAACCTTGCCGAAAACAAAATTTTATTGTCTAAATGCTTATGTTATTATTAAGAGGAAAGACAAAAGTTTTTTTAAATTATTTTTAAAAAAATTTCCTTCTTTTTAGAACATTCTAAATTTTGATTAAAAAAAACCTTTTTTCTATTTGTATCAGCAGAACTAGTAAATAACATAGACAATTTTTTTTTTTTTTTGGTATGACACACATTAATTTGAAAAAAAATCGTTCAAAAATAGAAATAATTTTCTGATGTTAATGAAACTTTCAGGAACTATTCACAGATGATCGAAATTATTATAAATGTTTTTTTTTTTAAAAGTCATGGTAGAAATATTTTTTAAAATATTTATTACCCCCCCCAACTAATTTTATGAAAAACGCTAGAAATTCGATCGCATCGGTTTTAGTGATTACAATAATTAAAAGCCCAGGGCTTTGAGGAATGCAAATCATGTTTTTTTTTTTTTTTAATTGGATACGCAGTACCTGAAAATCAGCTCTGAATTGTAACATACAAAACTCAATAAAACAAAGATATTATTTAATTTCAAATGCTTTTATTTGCTTTTAGTTGTTTTTTTGAATATGGACAATATTTTCTGAAAGCAAAAAATTTTTTTCGATGAAAAATGAATTTTTAATACAATTATTTGTTATTTCATTAATTATAATAGATTTTACATTTAAGTTGTTAAAATATTATAAAATTAGTTAAAAGCCGCATCGGCTTTCATAAGTGTCCTTATGAGATAGATCTTTTTTTTTAGCGCGTTGTAAATTGTATCATTTTGACTAATCAGAAGATACCCAGTAATTAAGAAATGTAATTTTGTGCTTATAATCGAGCTGTAATTATAAAATACGGAAGACCAACCAGAATATAATTAAGTTGCGTTATTTGAGTTAAGCATTGTTCTCCGCTGTTAAGGCCTTTACTTTTGCGAAACACGTGTGGAGAAGTTAATTTGATTTTTCAATTTCAACTGAGAAGGGTACCTACAAGTATCAGTATCATCTTATGAAATTTATATGATCTTATTTTTATATTAATCTCAGTTACATTTTTCCATAAATGAAATATCAAAATTAATAATAAAATGAATGCAAATATAAATAACAGTAGAATGTAATAAATGTACATAAAATTATAGTATTTTATGTACAATTCTGATAAAATTTCATAAGAAAGGTACCTATAAATTAATTAGATACCTTTCTTAAGAAATATGAAATTTAATGTCACTCTTAACAGTTTTATTTTAATTTCTTTACAATATATTTCCCATAAAGCATCATAAACGTAAAGGTGAAAGCTAAGTACAAAAAAAAAAAAAATTAGACCGCTGAAAGTTTTCGTTAAAAATAACGGGGTAAATAATTTGTTCACGTAAATGTAAATTATTTCACTTTTCTCCTTCCGTAGAACAAATTAGCCTCATGGAATTCGTAAATATATCATTCATCACATGTCAAGAGACGCGAAAGTTTATGACCTGCTTTGTTTTATTTTCAAATTACATCTTTTTGGCACAAAAAGCTAAGTTAAGTTTGGTTCAAAATATTTTAAATAAACATTATAATTTCTGATTTTCTTAAAATAAGTTTTGAAAAATGATAATTGATATTTAAAAAAATTTCAAAGTCAGATTTCCATTTTTTTTTTAATGGAAAAAAATGGTCAATTTTGCTGACTCAAAAAAAAAAAAGAG